ACGCGCACAAAAGCGTTCGAACGCTGTCGACATGCCCGCGCGAAGCCCGTTTGGTAGCATCTTCTGAACATGTTGAAAAAAAAAAAATAAAAAAAAAAAAAAAAAAAAAAAAAAAAAAAAAAAAAAAAAAAAAAAAAAACGTGGTTTTCTTAAGAACTCACACGAGCGCGCGCACGCTTCTGATGAACACCCGTGATGCGAAGCCATATGTTTATGTATGTGTCTTGGGCAGTCGATGTTGAAACCCTTCCGGGACCGACGGTTTTTGAAGGATTTCGGCATGCGCGCGACGACGCGCGCGCGTGCATTTCGTCCCGTTTTTGCCAAGGGTTCTCGCGACGGCACGCGCGCAAGGGCGTTCGAAAGATGTCGACATGCGCGCGCGAAGCAAGTTTGTTTGCATTTTCTGAAAGCGTTGAAGCATTTGTTTTTGAAAAAAAAACGCAGGAGCACGCGCGCATGCTTGTTTTGAGAATCCGTGTTTGGAAGCCATGTGTTTTTCCATATTTTTGGGACACGCGATTTTTGACATCCTTCCGAAACCGAAGGTTTTCTGGGAGGATTTCGGCATGCGCGCGCGACGACGCGCGCGTGCGCAGTTCGTCCCGCTTTCAGCAAGGGATTCTTGAAAATTTGGGATTTTCGATGAACGAGTGTGCGCGCAGTTTTTTTTGCATATGATGGCGGGGGGGAAGGCGATACCGGCCTGGCTGGGATTGTACGAGTGCACATTAGGATGGACATCGATTCCCGGGGGAGGGTCTTTACCCCCGGGGGGGTGGGGTGTTAGAATTTGTTTTTATCCAGAAGGGAAAATCAAACATTTGCTCAACTTGAAGCTGTCTTCTCCACTGTTCGTGCGAGTATCCCACCCTCCCACCCGCAACTTGGTCGCCAGACCTCTTAGAACGTGACGGTAGGTACCAAATGGCACTTGGCAGCGACACGAACGGCAGCGACAACGACGACAACGACGACGACGACGACTATGACGACACCGACGGCGTCTCCAACGACTTCGACGACGACGACAACGACTACGACGACGACGACACCGACGACGTACGCCGACGACGACGACGATGACAACGCCGACGACGACGCCGCCGACGACGACGACGACGACGACGCCGACGACGACGACGACGACAGCGACGACGACGACGACGCCAACGACGACGACGACGACGAGGGAGGAGGGAGGACGACGACGGCGACAACGACGACAACGACGAGGGAGGAGGGAGGACGGCGACTACGCGAACGATGAAGAAGGAGGGATGCAAGTGCCGACGACGACAACGACGAGGGAGGAGGGAAGACGATGACGACGACGACGACGACCACGACGACGGCGACGAAATAGGAGGGACGACGACGAGACGCCGACCACGGACGACGACGACGACGAGGGAGGAAGAAGGACGCCCACGGCGACAACGACGACGGAAACGACGACGACGCCAAAGAGGACGACGACGACGACGAGGAAAGGCAGAGTACGACGACGACGACGACGGAAGAGGGACGGCGACGACGACGACGACGACGCAAGAGCGCGTGCCAACGTTTTTGTTGAACAGACGTGTTGCGAAACCCTTTGTTTTTGTATGTTTTTTGGACACTCGATTTTGAAACCTTTCCGCATCCGACGGCTTTTGAAGGATTTCGGCGTGCGCGCGCGACGACGCGCGCGCGCAGTTCGTCCCATTTTCTGCAAAAGATTCTCGCGACGGCATTCGCGCAAGGGCGTTCGATCGATTTCGACGCGCGCGCGAAACCCGTTTGGTAGTTTTTGTTGAAAGTTATGAACAACCTATGGTGTTCTCAAGATTTCGCAAGGGCGCGCGCGTAAGCTTCTTTTTAGAGAATCAGTATTTCCCCAATCAGAGCTTGCCTCTGTAGGGGTCCTAGCGGATTCATATGGTTAGGTTAGGTTAGGTTTGTCGCCAATTTTCGCTGCACGCCGGGGTGCCCGGGTGCCCGGGGGTGCCCGCGGGGCCCAGGTGCCCAGGAGGTGCCCGGGGGTGCCCGGGTGCCCGGGTGCCCGGGTGCCCAGGCGTGCCCGGGGGTGCCCGGGGGTGCCCCATAGCCCTATAGCCCTAAGCTTTATAGACCTATAGCCCTATAGCCCAATAGCCCTATAGCCCTACAATTCTATAGCCCTATAGCTCTATAGCCCTATAGCTCAATAGCCCTATAGACCCCTAGCCCTATAGCCCTGATTGGGGCTTTTCTCCGGTATCATGCGAAGCCATGTGTTTTTGCATTTTTGGGGGAAGCTCGATTTTGAAACCCTTCCGAAACCGGAAGTTTTTGAAGGAGTTCGGCATGCACGCCCGACGACGCGCGCGTGTGCACTTCGTCCCGTTTTTTGCGAAGGTTTCTTGAACACCTATGAATTTCGATAAACGAGTGTGCGCGCATAGTGTTTTTTGTTGCAAAGGATGGCGGAGGGGTGGCCGATACCGGTTTGGCTTGGATGGTATGAATTCATGGGAAGGATGGACATGGGGTCAGAATCCTATGTGTTTTGCATCGGCTCCCGGGAGGTCTTCAACCCCCGGGGGGGGAGGGTTGTAGAATTTATTTTTTCTTAAAAGGGAGAGGCAATGCTCAACTTGAGTTAGTTGGTGACGATGCTGACAGCGACGACCACGGCCAGTGATGGCGCGGATGCTGATCACGCCGAAGACGATGACGGCGCCCTCGCGTCGGCGATGAACGTTTTGGAATCAGTTCGACATGCGCGCGCGGCCGACGCGCGAGAGTGGCCCGCGTGGTATTCTTTGAAACGGATCGCGCCCCCCCCCCCCCACCAAGCACGCGCGCAAGGACGTGCGAATGATGTGGGCATGCGGCGCGAGAGGCCCGTTTGGCAGAATTCCATGAACATGTGGAATAAACGATGGTTGTCTTAAGAATTCAAGAGCGCGAGCGCACGCTTGCTTGACAAATGATGTTGCGAAACTTTGTGTTTTTTATGAGTTTTGGACATTCGGTCTTGAAATCGCTACGACAACGAGGGTTTTTGAAGGATTTCGGCATGCGCGCGCGACGACGCGCGCGTGTGCATGTCGTCCCGTTTTTTGCGAAGGATTCTCGCGACGGCACGCGCGCAAGGGCGTTCGACCTATTTCGACATGCGCGCGCGAAGCCTGTTTGATAGTTTGTTTTGAACATGTTGAAAACAAAAACCAATGGTTTTCTAAAGAATTCGGAAGAGCGCGCGCGCACGTAGTTGTTGAACATCAGCGTTGCGGAACCTTATGATTTTATATGTTTTTTGGACACTCGATGTTGGAATCCATCCGAAACCCAAGGTTTTTGAAGGATTTTGGCATGCGCGCGACGACGCGCGCGTGTGCACTTCGTCCCGTTTCTTGCAAGGATTCTTGAACGCTTACGATGTTTGATAAACGAGTCTGCGCATAGTATTTTTTTGCAGAGGATGGCGGGGGGGCCGATGCCGGCCCCCCTGGGATGGTGCAGGTTCACGTCTAGGACGGACGATGGGGCGAAATCATATCCAAATTGCAGTACGAAAAGGTGAGTCTCTAATTCCGGTGGGGGAGGGTGGTAGAACCAATGTCTTTCGGGAGCGAGGGGGGTGATGACTGGGGGGGTGGATTTCATGGCGCGGGCCATGATTTTCCCTCAGATTGCATGGCGCCTCTCCTTATTTCATTACGTCCCAGGCCCCCCCGCTGGGCCGCGCACATGCCGCCGGTCATGATTTGCATCCCCCCCCTCTTGGACACCCCGGAGGAGGAGGAGGAGGAGGAGGAGGAGGAGAAGGCGGAGGCAGAGGAGGAGGAGGAGGAGGAAGAGGAGGAGGCGGAGAAGGCGGAGGAGGAGGAGGAGGAGGAGGAGGAGCAGGAGGAGGAGCAGAAGGAGGAGCAGGAGGAGGAGGGGAAGGAGGAGGGTGCCCCCTTTTTTATGCGCGCCGCACCGTCGTGTTTTCGCACGCGTGGTGGCGAGAGTGGAGTGGTGCGAGCCTGTGCAGTTGCTCGCGCTCCTCTGCTCGCCCTGGAGTCGCTTTGGGCTCGCGTCACGTCCGCTGTTCCTGAGGCTGTCCACCCTAGAGGGGAGCACATGTATAGACATGCATATGTTTCTCTCTATACATGCATGCATGCATGCACACACACATGTGTAGCTACATACATGCACACAATCATGCATGCCTCCATGTTTATATACATACAATGATACACACGCAAATGTGCATACATACACGCACATACACATATGCATAAACGTTTCGAAACATATACACATACATACATGTATACATACATGGATGCATACATACATACACACAGATCTATATATGTACATGCGCACAAATGCTCAGTTGCACACATACATGCGTTCATACTTACACACGTGCATACATCAATCCATACATACATGCATGCATACAGACATGACGATCTACACACATACATACATACATACGTACATGCAGACGTGCATGCATACATACACAAACGCATCCATCTATACATGCATACACCCGAACGTCCATACACACATGTACATGCCAACATGCATGTATGTATACATGCACACAAGCACACATACATGCGTGCATACATACATGCAGACATACATGCATGCATACCTGAATGCTCGAGTGTAATCATACACCTACACATGCCTGTGTTCTTACATACATACACACATACACATATTAAATGCTTGCATGTATGCATACATACATATATACATTCATACATACATACATACATACATACATACATACATACACACATACATACATACATCCTTATATGTATACATTTATACATACATGCATGCGTACGTACGCACACACGCACGCACGTACATTTCAAACACGCATACACACATACATACATGCATATTTACATCCATACATGCGTACATACGACTTAGATGTGGCGTCTAAGGATATTGCATCCTTGCCTTGTGCCGGCTTATATATTTAGGTGGCTCGTTTGGTGTTTTCTTATCGGTCATGCTTGCTCGAAGGTTTTCTGTCGCTGAGGTGGCGGCGGTGCCTGGTTGCTGCCGCTCTGGGAAGAATTCCCAGAGGCCTTGGGCGGAATCTGAGCAACTGTGCCTTCGCAATGATGCGATGCGGCGCCTTCCGTTGCATACAGGCTCACGCCAATTCGCCGACCAGCAGACGAGGGTAGGTATCTGTGGCGACGTCCTGGGTTGCTCGAGCGTCCCAGGGAGGGTAAGGTGGAGGAAGCGGGGAAGCAGAGCGATATGATGCCCAGTAGGAGGATATACGAGGAGTGCTGGCTCGGTGCGGAGCACACACTGTGCACAGCGATGGGCAGGAGAACGCGAGGAGGAGGAGGAGGAGAAGGAGGAGGAGGAAGAGGAAGGAGGAGGAAGGAGGAAGGAGGAAGGAGGAAGGAGGAAGGAGGAAGGAGGAAGGAGGAGGAGGAGGAGGAGGAGGAGGAGGAGGAGCAGGGGGAAGCACACGGACCCAGGACGAGGGGCAGGGGGACCGAGGGAGGCGAAACTCTGGGAAGGGGCATGGGCCTTTGGAGCGTGCCGCCGCGGCGCTGTCCGCGAGGCGAGCACGAGCCAGCACCGCCCGAGCAGGCCGCACCCCGTGGTGGGCGCTCCCCCCGGGCAGGCTCTGGGCCGCGGCCCCAGCGCGCGCGCGCGTCGGAGCACCTCGGGGACCGCTCGGGAGCCACCTGTGGGCCTGGGCGTGCCCCGCCGCCCAGCACGGCGTCGGGCGTGCCCCTCTGCGGGGGGAGTGCTCTCAAGTGTAGTAAGAAGAAATACTCCGGGGACTGTTTTTCGACGATGACTGACGATTTTTGGGTATTGCTTGGGGTATTTGTTACAGTTCGTCCAGAAACCGCCTGTAGGGGGACACGCCCGACCCAAGCCTAGCATTGAGCCGGGCGTGTCCCTCAGCAGGAGGAAGCCTCAAAAATAGTAAAGGTGCCGGCTTTTTTCTTTCTGATCATGCTTGAGTATGTTTTGAATAGTTGTTGACTGTGTTTTAGTTTTCGTCCCAAGTCCGCCCGTAGGGGTGCATGCCCGACCTAAGCCTAGCATCCGACGCGATGCCTCTCTGGACGCGCAGGTTTCAGGAGGGAGCAAAAACACACATGCACAATTCATCGTCGACCCCCCCGAAAATGAGGGAAGATATGGGAAAGGGGGGGGGAAGACGAAGACCCAGGAAAGATAGGAAACTGCGAGGGATCCTATTGTTATTATCATTATCATTATTATTACGACTATTATTATCATTATCATCATTATTAACATCATTATTATTATCATTATTATATGTGTCTATTTGTTTGTGTGTCCCAGGGCCCCTTCGAGGTTGGGATCGCGCTTCTGATGCGGCTCGGGCGTCGGCGGGAGGCGCCGGCCGCGGCCGGGGCCGGCCGGCGCCGGACGCGGCGGCCCGGTGTGTCGCTTCTGTTCTCGGGGGCGGCTCTCGCGGGCGATGCGCTCTTCGGCGCGATCCGAGTCGCGACTTGTGCTTCGGCGAGGACCCTCGAGGAGCATCCTTGATCATTTGGCGAAAAAACCACGCACGAAACCGAAAAAAACACAGGGGAATGGACGTCCGAGCGATGGCCAGGTGGGCGGCCGCGCGAGTGCGCGACGGGCGTCGGAAACAATTAAGCAACACTCGCGCATGACGTATGGTGTGAACTCCTCCCCTCCTTCTGTTGCACCCTTGGGGGGACCTCGCCTGTCCCCCCAAATTGGTGTCTTTTGGGAGCCCGACGCGGGCTCGATGCGGACTCGACACGGATTTGGCGTGGACTCGACGCGGATTCGACACGGATTCGACACGGATCCGACGCGTCCGACATGGATTCGACATGGATTCGACGCGGACAGGGCCGCGACGGGACAGACAAGGTCCCCCGAGGATGCAACATAAGATCCGAGTCGCGACTTTTTTTTGCCACGGCTGGACCTGAACGGTGTTTTTTGGCGATTTCGAGGGCCGTCTTCGTTTCGATTCCGTTTTGCGGAAAAGGCGGATTGGAGACAACACGAGGGAGAGCGAAAACAAGACGCAAACGAAACACGCCGTTTGGGTTCAGCCCTGTGCTTCGCTGTTCGGTGAGAGTCTCCGCTGCTGGAAATCCTCCACTGCTGGGTCCCTGAAGCCTCCTTGTGGCCTTCTCGAGCTTTCTTTGTTCCGAGAGCGCTGTCCAGGCCTTCCTGGGGACGCCTCGGGGCTGCCTTGGAGCGCCGCGTCGGGCCCTTCTCGGGCCTCTCTCTGGAGGCCGTCCTCTGTGGACCTTCTGGCGCCTGATAGAGGGGCTTGTCTTGGGCTCCTGTGGGCGATGCCGGGGCCCTCCTTGGGCCACCTTGGGGATGTCCTAAGGCGCCTGACCACCCGAGGGAGTAAAGGCGAGAAGGCCAGGAGGAGGAGGAGGAGGAGGAGGAGGAGGAGGAGGAGGAGGAGGAGGAGGAGGAAGAGGAGGAGGAGGAGGAGGAGGAGGAGGAGGAGGGGCGGGGAGGAGGAGGAGGAGGAGGAGGAGGAGGAGGAGGAGGAGGAGGAGGAGGAGGATCGGATTTGGCCTTTTCCTTGCCTCGGGAGGCTCCTGAGCCATGGTGGAGCAATCATGGGGCGCATTGGGACCATCGTGCAGGCCATCTTTGGCCTGTCTGATGGCATCCTCCTCATCCTCCTCCTCATCCTCCTCCTCCGTCATCGCCCGTCTGGTGTCAGTCATTCTCGTCCTTCGCCCCTCCTGCGCCCCGTCCTCATTCTCACCTTCTTCTTCCTCTTGTGCTTACTACTTTTCCTCCCCTTCATCCTCCACCTGCCAGTCATCTGGACCGCTCCCGTAGCGCAATTCGACAGCAGAAGTATGATCAAATGAGTCGTTTGGGCATGATCCCGCCTCACTTCTCATCCCTCCCTCCTTCTCCTGTCCCAGGCAGCACCGGCAAGTACAGCAAGAGTTGTCGAGCCTGTGAGCGCCGTCGCTGGTTCGCCAGCTCCCGTGTGGCTGATCCGCGGTGCCCTCGTGTCCCGCCGATCGAGCCTGCTCTCCTCTTCCGGGACTGCGGCCCTCTGGAGGCAGCCAAGCCTCGAACCTCGGGTCCCTCCCGTCCGTCTCTCCTGGTGAGCACCGGAGTGCTCCCGCGGGCACCAGCAGTTGCGCCCGTGCACTGCGCACGGCCGGCCAGCGAGAGCCACGAGCGCCAGAGAGCACCTCGAGCTGAGCCCGACCCTGGACTTGGCCACGATAGCCTGCGATCGCTTCCCGCATGCACAGCAGAATGCCAGAGCCCGCCAACATCACGACCTGCGAGCACCACAATCTTCCTGCGATCGCCAGCATGGTGAGGCCGAACCCCAATGGTGCTTGCTACTATCACCGACTCCCCAGCGGATGCCTAGCTACACCTAGCAGTTGCCCACATTCTTGATGATTATGTCTGCCCCTCCAGGACGGCGCCAGCGCGGACCGTAACGCCAGCGGGGTAGAAACGCTCTTTTAGGGCTTTTAGGGTTTTCTTGGGTCGTCGTACAGCGTCCTTGGGCTACTATGTGGCCGTCTCGTGGCCATCCTGGGCACTCCAGATGATCCCTTGAGTCGAAAAGCGTGGGGAGCGCGAACCAACAATGAAAACCACGTGGTGCTTCAGCGATTTTGGCCGTCTGCGTCCTCTCTTGAGCCCTCTTGGGGCGTCTCTTGCAGCCTCCTGCGGCCGCCTGGGTAGTGTTCGAGGCCGCATGGGCATACCAGGAAGCCCTTTCGCACTGTGTTGAAGGCCATAGTTTGCATATCGGCATCTTTGACCACCTGCGGGCCATCTTAAGGCGAGAGAGGAGGACGAGGAGGAGGAGGAGGAAGAGGAGGAAGGAGGAGGAAGGAGGAAGGAGGAAGGAGGAAGGAGGAAGGAGGAAGGAGGAAGGAGGAAGGAGGAAGGAAGGAAGGAGGAAGGAGGAAGGGAGGAAAGGAGGAAGGAGGAAGGAGGAAGGAAGGAGGAGGAGGGAGGAAGGAGGAAGGAGGAAAGGAGGAAGGAGGAAGGAGGAAGGAGGGAGGGAGGAAGGAGGAAGGAGGAGGGAGAGGAGGAGGAGGTGGAGGAGGAGGAGGAGGAGGAGGGGAGGGAGGGAGGGAGGGAGGGAGGGAGGGGGAGGGAGGAGGAGGAGGAGGAGGAGGAGGAGGAGGATGGATGAGGACAGGAGAAGCAGGGGGGAGGAGGGGGAGGAGGAAGCGGAGGAGGAGGAGGAGGAGGAGGAGGAGAGAGGAGGAGGAAGGAGGAGGACCAGGAGAAGGAGGGGGAGGAGGGGGAGGAGGAGGAGGAGGAAGGAGGAGGAGGAGGAGGAGGAGGAGGAGGAGGAGCAGAAGGAAGAGGAGGAGGATGGAGAGCTGGGAACCCGCGGGGACAGGGTGGTATTCGGCTGCCCACCCTCCCGTCGGACATCTGCGATGTGTTGCCTCCAGGGGGAGGGGGAGCGTGGCGCGCTTTTGAGGCCCGAAAGGGGTCGGCGGATCTTCTTGGCGAAGAGGTGACCACGCCATGGTCCCTATTTGCAGATTGCTGCATGGAGCCACGCGCAGGCCGCTGCCTCTCCGTCTGGCGGCGCGCCGAGGGGAGGAGGCGGAGGGGACGGGCCTTCCCAGACGGCTCCGAAGGCCTCTGGCATTTTGAGAACAAGGGCGCCCTCGAGGGCGCGAAGTTGTTCGCGCTTCGCGGTTCGGCTTCGATTGCGAAGGCCTTACGGCCGGTGCCGCCGACCCTGTTCGCAATGCGCAGCAAGAGGCACGGGCTGTGGGATGGTTTTGGGGAACGGGGAGAAGGACGAGAAGGTGGGGGAGGGAGGTGTCGTATCTGACCCGGGACTTCCCCGGGACTCCCCTGGGACCCCCCCCGGGACCCCCCTCCCCCCCCCGTCGGGGAAGGGAAAGGGAAGGGGCTTCCCTTCGACTCAATTACGACGTTGCTCAAGGTCGGTACGGGGGGGGGGCGTCGTATCTGACCGGGGGGGGGTCGCTACCCCCCCCGCTACCCCCCCCCCCTCCCGGCGGGGGAGGGAATTTCAAAGGGAAAGGGTTGTCCCTTCGACTGAATTACGAATTGCTCAAGGTCAACGGGTGGGGGGCGTCGTATCTGATAGGGGGGGGGGTCGCTTCCCCCCACCCCTCCGGCGGGGGAGGGATCAAGGGAAGGGGCTTCCCTTCGACTGAATTACCGACGTTGCTCAAGGGGGGGGGCGTCGTATCTGACCCGGGGGGGGGGCGCTACCCCCCCCCCCTCCCGGCGGGGAGGGAAAGGGAAGGGGCTTCCCTTCGACTGAATTACGACGTTGCTCAAGGTCGGGGGGGGGGCGTCGTATCTGACCCCGGGGGGGGGGCGCTACCCCCCCCCCCCCACCACTCCCGGCGGGGGAGGGATCAAAGGGAAGGGGCTTCCCTTCGACTGAATTACGACGTTGCTCAAGGTCGGTACGGGGGGGGGGCGTCGTATCTGACCCGGGGGGGGGTCGCTACCCCCCCCCCTCCCGGCGGGGGAGGGATCAAAGGGAAGGGGCTTCCCTTCGACTGAATTACGACGTTGCTCAAGGTCGGCTTGGCTGGAGCCCAGGGGAAGAGGAGTCCCAGGGAAAGGGACGGACAGAGACGACGAGTACAAAGAATAACGGAGATGACGGCTCGAACGGAAAAGCCCCTCACACACGCCGACAGGGTCGGCGGATTCCTCCTCATCCTCCTCTTCTCCCCTGGGAGGCGGCGCGAGAGCGCGAAGTTATTCGCGCTTCGCGCAGCGCGAAACGCGAAGTTGGGAGCACTTTGAGAAGCTCTTCTGAGTCTTCCCCGAAAGCGCAGGCGCCTCTAGGAAGGCCGGAAGGCTTCTGAGAAACCCCACCGCCTTCTGAGAAGGCTTGCCCCTCTCACTTCTTTTTTCTTGGCGCGCCGCCGAAAATCATCTTCACTACCACGATCATCCGTTGCCTTTCCGTAGACATATTGGCTTTGGTTGTTTGGTTTAAGCCACATCACGGCTTCATTGTCGGCTGGGGAGCCTAGTGCATTGTGCTTGCTGCCTACGTGGGTTGATTCTCTACCCTGCCCTTTGCTATCCTACCCTTTCGTCCCCCCCTCGAACCTCGCTCTGGAAGTAGAGCGCTTAGGCCACGACTCTGAAGATGTTCTCAAAGATCAGCGATCATGGTGCACGCGCGCCCCGTGTGACCCCACTGCGGTGTGCGGGGAGGCCCTTCCGCGCCGGCGCAGAGCCGCGCAGACAAGCGCAGACCTGGGAGCCAAAGTGCAAGGAACACGGAGGCGTCGACCGAGCTGACCGACGAGAGGAGGCCGTGACTGCTTCCGATCTTCGGCGGCAGGTCAGTCGGAGGGCGGCAAAGAGGGGGGTGATGACTAGGGGGGGGGATATCATGGCGGTGGCCATGATATTTCCCCAGATCTCATGGCGCCTCTTCTTATTTCGTTACGTCCCTGGTCCCCCCCGCTGGGCCGCGCACATGCCGCCGGTCATGATTTGCACCCCCCCCTCCTGGACACCCCCATCTTGGCCGCTCCCGAGTCAGGGGGGAAGTGAGGAGCGGCGGGCCGTCTCAGAATGCTCGGAAGTCTCCCCGGCCTTCCGAGAGGCTGTCTGAGCCTCCCCCGAAGACGCGCAGAGAGCTCCTCAGGAGGGCGCGAGGGCTCCTGAGAAGGCCCGCGGCCTCCTGAGCAGGCCTGCTCGCTCTCGCTTCCCCCCCTCCCTCGCTCGCCGTCGAGAAACGGGCCCTGAGGTTCTTCCAGGTTTCTGGTGTTCCTCGGGGCCCTCCCCGGGCCCCGGGGCCGCCAGGAAACTACTCGGGAGGAAGAGCTCGTCCCGGGGGAAGGCCTCGGGGTCCAGGACCAGTTTCCCTAAGGGCCCGTGTTCCCCGTGCCAGAGGCGGCACAAGCACCTGCACAAACGCATTTTTTCTCGGAGAGCCAGCAAACGGCACGGAGCGTTCGAAGAGTTCAAGGCGTCGTAGTCAGCGGCGTGCTCGGAGAACACGGGGCGGAGGCAGCTGCACAGGCGCTCTGGGGGGCCCTATCGTAGAGGGGAGGTCACGCTTGAGACCTCCTGGTGATTCGCTCACGGACGGGCCCCCCGCCAGAGACCTCCAGACTCAGGCCAGGAGCGACGACGGCCACGGGACTCGGAGGACCCGGTCGGAAGCGTGGCACGATCCGAGGGCCCACGGAGAGCCAACAAAACGGCACGGAGCACTCGAGTAGTTCGATACGGCACAATCAACCCCCCTCCTCCTCCTCCTCCTCCTCCTCCTCCTCCTCCTCCTCCTCCTCCGCACATTCGGGGAGCAAAGAACAGCACAGCGCACGGCTTCTCGGAGGTCCGCACGGACCTCGGAGAATTGATGATGCTCGTGCCGTCTTCTGCCCCTTCTTGGGATCACACGATGTGCGCAGTGTCCTTTTGCGACCCACCTCGAAGATGTCATCTTCTTCCAGCAGACGGACATGCAGTGGACTGGAGTGGGCTGAGGCAGACTGGACTGGAGCAAATTGGGGTGGATTCTACTCCACTCTATCCTTATCCCTTCTTCGACTATACTTCCATTCTGCCACACAACTGGCCGAAAGCAGTTTCATCCTGGTGGCCACATCCTACCTTCCCAAAAAGCATTCCGACGGTAGGATCCCGCATGAAAAATCGCCCAAAGTAATCTGGAATCCAGCCTCAGCGTCGTCCTTATGAGTGCAGACTCTCTTTCCCGCTTCCTTGTCGCCCTTCTTTGGTTCGCCTTGGTGGATTCCTTCTTCCCGCCCCTTGCTCGGCCTCGTCCTCGTCCTCCTGTCTTTCCTCTCCCGTCTACCTCCTCCCCAACCCCTCCTAGCAATGGCACGCAAGTCCATGTTGCTTGGCGCCGTGGCCTCCACGGCCGGCACGGGCGCGTTCCCCGATGGCCAGATCGCGAAGTCGCTGTGACAACCCCGTGCGCCAGGCCATTGGGACACCCCCGCGAGCCGCTCGGGCGCAGGAGCAAGACGTTGGGACACCCCCACAGGTCTCGAGCTAGCCGCGGCCGCGTTCAGGCGGGAAGCAGCGCGAAGCCCAGCTGTGCCGCGAGCTGCTCCGCCTCAGCCCTGGAGCTCCTCGCTCTCTTGTCGAACCCCCCGAGCGCTTTCCACAGGGAGACCGGCGACCCGCGTTCCACGAAATTGTCGCTGGGGCGGCCGCAGGATCAGCACCTTCCGCACCCATTGCCTCGCCATTCCGTCGCAGACGGGGCTGCCGCTCGAGGCCCCCGCCACGGCTCAAGCTTCAAAGGGCCAGACGCGACGACAAGTACAGGGTTCTGATGGCCCGCTCGGAACGTGGGCCGCGGGCCCCATGGGGAGGGGGCTCCCGCCCCAGACTTCCTCGCCATCCAATCACGGGCGACGCCCCCGCCAGAGACTTTCTCAATGGTCGAGGTTCGAGAACTCAGAAATGACGATAGCCGCCAGAACCAATGGCCCGCCCGGATCAGTAATGTGAGTTGCGGGCCCCCTGAGGGAGGAGCCTCCCGCCTGGAATTTCCGTGCAGTTCATTTACAGACGACGTTCCAGCTCGAGGCCTCCGCCGTATTGAAGATTGAGGAGCCCAGCCGCGACGACAGTTCAAGGAATCCAGTGACCCCGTCGGACAAGAAACAGGGGCTGCGGCCCCACAGGGGCGGGGCTCCCGCCTTCGATTTTTTCACCATTCGCCCACATACGACACTCCCGCCTGAGATTTTCTTAATGTTCGATCGAGTTTCGAGAGCCCCAAAATGACGACAGTCACAGGAATCCGATGGCCCGTTCGGATTAGCAACGCGAGCTAAGGCCCCATATCGTGGGGGGGGGGGGTCCGCTTAAGATTTTGTCACAATTCATTCATCGGCGAAGGACCCGTTCGAGACTTTTTCTCCAAATTTGGGTTGGACGATCCCGATATTCACGACAATCACACAAATCCGATGACCCGTTCGGATGCATAAAATGAGCCGCAGGCCCGAGTGGGAGGGGGGCCCTGCTAGAGACTTCTTCGCAAGTCGTTCACAGACGAGGGCCCCGTTCTAGACATCCGCCATATCTCAGATCGACGAGTTCAGAAGTGACGGCAGTTGAAAGAATCCGTTGGCCCGGTCGGGTTCGTAATTTGATTCGCGGGCCCCATAGGGAGGGGGTTCCCGCATGAGTTTTCCTCGCGAGGACAATTCCCTCTGGAAATTTCTGTGCAGTTCACTCATTCACGATGATGATGTGGTGGTGTTTTTCTTGCGCGGGGGTGCCCAGATAAAACAGTGCGCGGTGATGCTGGTGATGATGATGGCGATGATGAAGATCAGGATGTTGATGCAGCTGGTGATGATGATGATGCTGATGTTGATGCTGATGAAAGTGGTGGCGAGATGGAAGTGTTGATGACGATGATGCTTGTGATGATGGTGCTGACGATGCCCGGTGCCCATCTTAAGGTTATGGTACTGGTGATCGATGGTGTTGGTGCGCGGATGATGACAGCGGCAGTGGTGGTGATAGCGAAAGTGAAAGCATGGCGATGATGACAGGCGCGACGATTGCACGGGGTGTCCAGAGAAAACCCAAACAACACGTATGATGTGGGGAACAATGCAATATCCATGTTTTTCGTGCCCTCATGCACATTATGTCGTCCACGTTGCAAAATGCATGCGGTAAAATGGGGCGGGCCGCGCATGCCGCGCGAGAAAGACAACCGCGTCGCGCTCGCTTCGGCGCCGCGTTCACTGTTCTAAAGAAACCCGCTCGGGCATGGCGCACATTTCTCGCGCGCAGTTTCGCCGACGCGCAAACGGGCGAACATGTAGTTTTCGCTTCGGCGCCGCGCAGGCTTCGCCTGAAAGTAGCGCCCCCAGGCGCGGCGCGCATTCTTCACTCGCCACTGTTGGGGGCCTGCGCAAGTGGGCGATTTGTCGCCCTCGCCCAAGTTCTGCGCGCATTTTGTTCGGTTGTGGCGTTCCATCGTCGGCCTGGCGGCCGGCCCGTTCGCCGATGCGCTCGGGCGCGGCAGCGGCAGCGAGGCCGCGCGAGACCGGGCGAAATGTCGACCTCGCCCAAGCGCCGCGCAGGGCGCGAGTGAAAGTGGCAGTGCGGCGCATGCTTCGTTCTCGCCGCGCCCGTCGGACGGCGCGCCGCCCCCGCCCCTGCGCGGCCCGCGCAGTCCTCTTTTCGCCAAGTCGTCGGACGCGGGGCCGCGCGCGAACGCCCTCCGCTTGCGGGGTGGGAGCGCGCCTCAATCGGAGCGGGGCGCGTCGGAAGTGCGGGCGGTGCGCGGCGCGGTCGGCAGAGCAAAGTTGGCGCGGCCTTAGCGTGGCGCTGAAGACAACGAGCTGGCCCGCGGGGCCCCGCGTGTCCCGTGAGGCGCAGTGGGGTTGGAGGCGTTGCCCGTCTAGCTCTGCGCCTCGCGCGGGATCGGCACATGTGCGCCGCGTTGGAGGTCGCATTCCAACTCGCCTGGGCGCGTTCGTCGTTGTGGATTCGGGTTTGCTTCAGTCAGCTGGCTGCAGATGGCGCCTCGTAGCCGCCTGGTGTTCTATGATGAGCGCGTCGGCGCGAGGCGCTATTATTCGCCGTGGCTTTTCAACCAACAACAACTCTATTGCGCTCGCGCGACGCTCTTCGGGTTCGCGGGGGCCGACGCTCCCGGCGCCGAGACGCGCCGCCATTTATTGTCATGCGCTGCGAGGGGGGGCGGGCGCAGGCGGTGCCTTTTGGCCGGAAGAAGACCGGTTCAACAGACGACCGGTTCAACAGACACCGGTTCAAGTTCAGCAAGGACCAGTTCAACAAAGACCGGTTCAACAGGACCGGTTCCGCAGAACCGGTTCCACGGAACCGGTTCCACAGGACCGGTTCCGCAGGACGGGTACCACAGAACCGGTTCCACAAGCCCGGTTCCACAGGTTTGGTTCCACAGTACAGGTTCCACAGGACGGGTTCCACAGCGGCGAGTCCCTCCTGCTACTCTCTC